AAAAAAAAAAATGATGTCGAACTCGATCGTAAGGGAAATTGAACGAATTCGTAAACGAGGAACGAAGCAGACCGTATGAAAATAGCGGAGTCATTAAATCCGAAGAGGAGAGGGCGACAAAACCACGGGTGCACAATGGCTTTCTGCGATGGCAAGATCGATATAGAGAGTCACGGCGAAGGATTCATCGGCAGGAAGTCAGGGGAGCGATAACAAACCATCTATTCAATGGCCTGGGAGGAGGGTCGTCGGAACACCATTGACGAAATAGAAGATATCTGGAATCGGTGAGACGTACTTTGTATTCTGGCGCTAGCTTGAAAGATAGTCTGCGTACGAGTATAATCGCTCCAAAGATCTTCAAGATTCGAGCGAAAAGGTATAGAGTAGAGGAAGCGTTTAATGCTTTTAAGACGATTTTGTTCTTAGAGGAGTCTTTGATACTCAACGCCTATTGAAATCAGACGATCCCAAAGAAACGAAATCCTCGATTGAGATTATTATTATTATTATTATTATTATTATTTGCGGCTTCCGGGCTTAAGGCGTGTCTAAAAGGAATTGTACCCCGACGTTTCGCCAATAGGGCAGCTAGCTTCTTCAGAGTTTTGAGAACACATTGCCACTCATTGTCAGAAGGTAGTAATATTAATAATAGTAATATTAATCCGAGTCGTGAAAGCATCAAATCTTCTATCCTATCTGTATCTATTAAAAAGAAAAAAATGATTTCGAACATCACCCGCGACAGCGAATAATTTCTGTTGAATTTCCGCTTAACGCGACTGCCATCGAAGCTAAGATCAATTTAATTTACATCTGATTTTCGAATTTATTTCCATAATTCAATCAATTACGATTAAACATTTATGTAGAACGACAGCGAACGGTTCAGCGATAGGGAACAAATTTATTAATTAGCAACAAAATAATGAATCTTGTACAAATGATTACGTAAAATTCCATAATGAATTAGCTAACGTATTACGGATTAATTGCAAGTGAATTCATTTAACTTTCGATCATCGGTAGTGGTTCCTCGCAGGCTACATTCTTCCCCTCGTGGCAACAAATTGGTTCTGCAGCTTTCAAACCAGTGAATTTCCAGCTGGCCTCGTTACACACTTTCGCGTACACCGCCACCTAAAAGAATATTTCACAGCTTTACTATCGTTACCGATATCAAATTTGAATTTTCTTTCTAAATTTGATGTTTCAAATCTTCACTTACGTGAAGATTCTCCACGTGTGTGTTCAACTTCTCGCAAATCATCTGCGGCGCTTTGTCTCTCGCGCTCTCAGCCTGCCTCACAAAATTACCTATATCTTTTTGACATTTGCCGGCCATACTATCGAACATACATGATTATTTACTCACTGACCAGAGCAATGCACAATTGTTGACACTTCTCCTCCCCTTCGCCATCGCACGTGACGTTATATAGAAGCGCGCGTTCAATGATTGATTTTGCTATTTGCCTGGAAAACACGGCGCATTTGCAGGCTCCCTGTTCAACAACTTCTTGGCTACAAAAATTCGAAATTCAACAATCATTTATTTAAAAAAAAAAAAAAAATTGACGTGTCTGTCGATCGAGACTTTCATGTGCCAATATTAATAAAATAAAACCAATTGTCCTTCAATAGCTTCAAGATGATTTCGACACGATCGTCTTTATAATTCTCTCAACATTTTTAGTAGAATGGAGTAGCAAACACGAATATAAAAATGAATGCTTACATTGTAAACGGTAAGATGGTGAACAACAGGACGAAGAGCAGGAAACGATCCATTGCGGTTCGACGACGTTTCGTTGGTTGAAACCGATGCAAGCTTATTTGAGTCTCGCGAAACAGACGAACAATCGAATGGGAACACTTCGTTTATATCCTGCAGAAATCCCTACCATCGGTGCATCCGATGCATGTTTGGTCACACGATGCAATTGTGTTCGCGATAGCTTGTCGATGTCTCAAGTTTTTCATCGAGGTGTTATGCGTCGAATTGTAACACGAGGAAAAAACGACGCGGTGTCGAATGCGCGTCGATTGAATGCACCGTTCTCGAGTATAAAACAACGTTCACCGATCTATTCTATGCGATATATTTTACGAACGTTTTCTTTCTTCTTCTTCTTCTTTTAATATACCATTAATCCGTGTTAAGCGGTGTACACTTAATATTTAAAATTGATGTTTTAATCAAAGGTGTGTTAATAAACTGAACTGGGGTATGGAAATGGAATCTATTAAAAGTTTTGTTGATTGTGAAAGACTATTTGATAAAAAAAAGAAAATCGTTTATAAAAGAGAAAAGCGGTTATATAAGTCGTAACTTAATTGATTAATTAACTTAATTTATTTGAAATTAGACGAAATAACAAGAATAAATTAAAAACTTGAAATAACGAATTGAGAAAGACTTCGAACGTTCCAAGTAACAAAAATTTAATAACTTTGCAGTCTGAAGCGAATTTATTCATCATCTAAGCGACAAATAATTATTTCTGATTTAAACGTCAATCCATCATAGGACCCAATAGAAAGCTCATTTTCTTCAAGCAATTTCCTATCTGTAATTACTTTCCTTTCTCTTGTGAGCGACTAAGACGAAAGGTCTTCGAACTTATCAAGAGAAAATGGCGAGAAAAAGAAAGGAAGAAAGAGTCCCTGCAACAATTGAAGAAGCGCGAGTTATTTGTCTTAACAGAGGAGCTCAGGGAAAGTTTAGTAATCGTCGCGATTAAGAAATAACTTTTCAGGCGTAAAATGTTTCCAAAATTTCACTTCCAATAAGTGTAAAACTGAGAACTCGTTAAAATTTAAGAAATTTTTAAAAACAGCCTACGAAATATCTTTGGTGAAATTATTTACAAATCATATCCACGGTATCCACGGTATCCAGTAACTAATAAAAATAGAGAAGATGCACTAACGAAATATGTGAATTGAGAATAATCGACACAATTGGGAATATATTTTAAAACAAACAGAACGGATTAAAATGATAAGCTATCTGCTGGAAAAATTTGTGCTTATTAATAAATTTTTCTCACTTCACTCCTCCAATACATTTCATTAGAAATTAATTGTAATGCATCGCCTGTGAAATTTTCGAATAATAATAAATAGCCCATACTTACGTACGAATGTATACAATAAAGAATGGGAAATCATATTTGTAATTGAAATATAACATAACTAATAGTTAAAAATAAATGATAAAATAAATGACAAATCTATCCATGTTTTACAATATTATGATGGTTCTTTTTTTTGAGATAGTAAATTACAATTCTAAAGTTATTAACAAAATATTAAAGAACTTATCAGTTCAGATAAATTTTATCAAAAGCTCGATATAATATAAGTGAAATTAAAAAGAAGAAGAAAATCGCGATACAGTAGCCAGAAGAGCTACTAATTATCTGTATCTGCATAATTATCTACATTACGAAACCGAGCAACAAACATCTTGTTTCGCAACACTAATTCACTAGCCACTAATTGTGAAATGCAAAATTTTCAAAATCAAACGCGAAGAGTGCTTCGTCATATTTAAAACTTCTGAAAATAAATACGCAACGCTATTAATTTATGCACTCATCTTTAGAAATACGCGACATTAATTGAGACGCGTCCAGTGCAACCATGCTGAAGGTTGCTAATTAATGATCATTTCTGTGCAGCTCTTGTAGCTGCATCAGGTGATCCAGGAGCAGGAACAGCCTTCCACGAATCCAGTGGAAGAATTTGGGCATTTCGAAAACGCAACGCTACTTCAAACAACGCGATCATTCATTATCGCAACACTAAGAATAAAAATAATTGGAAATCGCGATGAAATAACGTAACACTAAAATCAAATTCAATTATTGTTAACAATATAAAAGCTATTCTACGAAGGAAACACTGATTCTATAATCTAATTTAAAACCACAGAAAATAAGATAAATTTTAGTATGTATAACACTAAGACAATCACGAAAATTGACAAGCAAAAGACAATCACGATATCATGATTCGCAACTCTACAGCAAACGCGATTATCATTTCTTCGCAACTCTAATTTAAACTGTAATTAATTTCTCGCAACACTAACAAGAAAAAAACCGCGATTTGCCCAAAACGATGATGAACGATGATGAAGAAGAAAAAGAAAGATACAACTACAAATACTAAAAGAGCATAGTGACAAAGTAGTAACGAGAATGATTTCCCATGCTCTGGAATCATTTGAATGATCCAGAGGATGAGAAGCCATTTGTTGTGACCCTCTTCGTGGCAGTTTGCCGGGCCTCTTCGGCTTTTAGCCTCTTCTTTCTTCGAACGCAATGCCCGCTGAAACTTACATCTAGCTCGAGTCTTTCTAATCATAAACCAAAAAATACTTACAAAGATGAAATAAAAAGATAAACCGCGGAAGCTGACCCCAATACACAGGAACGATCATCGATCATAGTGATCGCTGTCCGTTCGCATGTGCGTGCTCGAGCAATACCTACATAAACGTTCGTTTCGGAACCTACTCGCGACCTATCCGCGACCGCGACCGCGGTACTAAATTCGAAAAATCGAAGAATAAAACCAGAAACAAGTGGCATGCTCCATTTGTATCAATTTTACTGTCGATTTTTCAAATTAAATTTCCTGAAACAGGTTGGGCACGCGAAAAAAGGACACGCGACCAGAGACTGTGCCAACCTGCCCGGCCCTGCCTATTTATAATTAAACATTCACACCAGAAAATATACTACCTATCCTAATCAGTCGTCCTATATTTAAAAAATGGCAAAACAGGTAAGCCAACACACTCACTCCACGGTTCTCACACATACCACCCGGGTGCAGACCTACACTAGAGAGGACGTCCCGGGACGCCTCCGACACCCCGAGCTTACACACAACTTTCACACTCTAATTTACGTACCATTTTCCTGAAATCGACTGATAATGGCTAGCAATCATTGCGTAAAACGTGACTGAAACACGTTTATATTTACAGCTAATATTAATAACTAATATTAATAAAAATACATATAATTTCACGTGCAAAATTGACTTGGAATCATTATTACAATTGATAGTATATAATAATAAAGTAATTATAGTGTATTTATTAGGTATTACGATAATAAATTCATAATTCTTTAAATTAGTACATAAATATTTCAACTTATAATAAATGCAACAATAAAAACGACGCAATTCCACGTCCTAACCAAACATACACATGCGGAAAATACGTCGTGCACGATACGCTAACACATTGTCAGTCGCTGAGAAATTATTTATAAAATTACAAACTATGGTCATCGTGCCCAATGTCTTTCACTCACCCAAGTAGCACCTGGGCACGTAAGTGAGGTCCTGACAATGAACACGGAAGGGATTAAACCTAAAAATCCTAAACTAAAAAAATGATTAGTTTACGTAATTTATAATATCTAATGGACTATTGCATTATTTTATTTCAAACTGTAATGACTCTTTCAGAAATTATTGA